ATTATACAGCTTCTTTCTAAAGAGATGCTTAAAAATACTGTTTTCATGAGAAATGCATTCCTGCTCAGGATGCCAGAAACAGGCTTTGATTTTCCCCAGACCCCAGAGCAAGCTTTCTCACTGAAGAAATAATAGGAAAAACTAGAAAAGGAGGGTGGCAAGACAGAAGATGTTGGTTGTTCCAGAAATAGCCCTGGCCTGTTAGATACTGTTTTGCAAAGAGTGCTCTGTGAACAGAAACTTATGGATACAAAGAATGCTATTCTGAAGCATCTCTCTGTGCTTACGTAACATGTTCTACAAATCTTCAGTTCAAGCACTTAGATGTTCTAAATTAGGAAATAGAAAGCTGTGGTTTGAAGGGAGTTTGAGGAGGGGACAGATTTCTGCACTGGGGGTCAGAAATTGATCCATCCTTAGCAATGTCCTGCCCTCTCCTATGATGACCTCTGTGTAGTCCTCAATTGCTTGACAGACACAATCACTGGTGCTAATGTAATTTCTGACTTTTAGGTTGCTAACATCACTTAAAATTGGGGGTGGGGCAGCATGTTAAACTGTAAGCTTCTAACAGGCTGAACCTGTGTCCTGTGCACTGCGGGGCCATCACTACTTGGTATAAAATCTGGAAGGATTTACCATTTCAGCATGCCTGAAAAACATATGGGCTTTAGAGATGGGCTCTCGTATTCACATCATTTTTCCTCCTATTTGCAGACCAGAGACTGGCTGCAAAACCTCTGTGGGCTTTCAGTCACCTAACCGAAAAAAGGACTGGGGATATCAACGACTTCCCAGGGCCACTGTGGGGCTCACATATATGTTGGTGAAACACAGAATGCTGTGCCTGTCACACAGTTAGTAGCACCTGCAAGGTCCCAGATGCAAGTTTAGCATCATCCATTGCTCATGTTCCTTTCTCATCACCCATGAGCCAGATGTTAGGGAGCTCTGCCTCCAAATTAGTTCCACAGAGAATCTGGTGACCAGGAAAGCTAGTTAAAGTTGAACTGTGGCTTGAGACCTGACCTCATTTGGAATCAGGATCTATGCAGATATGACAGTGGATGTGGCTGTTGCTTTGGAGACGTGTGATTCTGGATGGGGATCCCCATGTCCCTGGAAGAAGTAGAAGAAGAAGACACAGGGCAGAGGGCTATGAAGGACAGAAGACTGGAGGCCAGGCTCCTCTGAAAACCAGAAACAGCTTCTTAGGAGACTCTAGAGGGACTCTCCTAAGCTCTGTGGATTGTGCCCTCGCACTTCTGGCCAGCAGGATCATGAGAGAATTAGTTTTGATTGTTCAAACTCATTGTATCTCCTGTTATCTGCTGCACCAACCCTGAAAAGCTCACCCGGTCGGGGGCAGGTGATTCTGAGACACCTGGATTTAGTGATGGACACATGAAGCAGAGATTGTCACAATCTGTTCAGTGCAGGGAGAGCTCTCTGGGGAAGACAGTCACCAGATCTGGAGACTGGAACGATCAGGCAAGTTTCTACTGGGAATCTTAGTGGGGTTCTCTTTTTCTTGTTTCTACAGAGAGTTATGTGGAAGCATGAAGTTGGTCATGAGACACTGATCAAAGCCATCCTTCATCCAACCCAGGTAAATACATGCACAATGTTGTTCTCAATGTTTGTGTAGTAAACCCTCACTGTAACACACAAAGGTCCCTATCACCTTTCTGAACCCATCCACAATGGACAAAGGGAATCAGTAAGTGAAGACTCTGAGCTAGATACATGGTTACCAAGAGCCCAACATAACTGTACATTTCTCCTAACCCTACTGATCCGTGAAATTATAACTGTGAAACAGATCTCCTCTAAAGTGAAAGATATATGAGACATATCATATATATGTATACACACACACACACAAAACACAAACATACACATATGATCCTTCCAAGCCTTTGGGACTTTAAATGGCATCTTCAAGAAAATGGCGTGTAGGAATGAAATCTACAAATGCTCAGAAAAGCGGCTTCACTCTCTCTCTTCTAACTCTGAGGGTCAGGGAAAGGCAGCAGAAGCATCAGCAGTCAGGGGTGACTTTTTTTGGAGCAAAGGCATTAGACAAGATGACACACTGACAGGTTCAGAAAACAGTGGATGCCGTGCCAATCAGCAGATAATTTCTGTGTGTTTGCAGCGTAGGAAGAAGTGTGAGTCATGCAGTATTTCAAAGGCAAGTCACAATTGCTGTTTGTCATCTTGCAATGTGAAGGTCAAGAGACGGGAGAAGGTGGGTGGAAGCAGAGAGGAGACCTGCTTGCAAGCAGATCAACCATAGCCAGACAGGTCCTGCTCCGTGGCTCTGAGAGTGCCCAGGGAGCCTGTGTAATTACTGCCTGAATTGACATCTGAGGCCCTAACCTCCAGCAGCCACAAGGTCATTAATCCTAAGTCCTATGTAACTTCTGAAAGTCACTCCTTCCATGACTCAGTCGGGCTTTGCCTCTCTTCCTCCACTTAGTCACTTACTCAGTTTACTTCCAAGAATAAAATAATTGCAAGGGAGAGGCCAGTAGGGAAATTCAAGGAAGGAAGCCTCGATTTTTCCAGACCCCAGGGGACCATAAAATGAACCTCATTGTTTAATGGAAGAAAATGCTAGTACATTGAAAATACATTCAAATAGAAAAAGAAGAAAAAATCTGAGCCCAAATAGAATCAAGAATTTTTGTCATTAATGTTATTTGCAGGGAAAGGAAAGCGAGGATAGGGTGGGGGCAGGGGGGGAGACCTACCCTTATGTAATACAGAAGTCAATAATTCAACTGGATTTTTAAAATATGAGGGCTGGTGAATTAATTCAGTGGGTAAAAATGCTTGCTGCCAAGCCTGACAACCTGAGTTCAATCCCCAGAACCAGAATGATGAAAGTTGTCCTTTGACATCTTCACACACTCACACACACATACACACACACCCTTCCACTCCTTCCCAATAAATAACTAACCAACAAATAAATGCAATTTAAGACTTTTAAAAATGTAAATGCTTAATTTCCTTCCTTTCCATTTAAGAGTTTTTTTCTGAGGAAATGATATATCTTTAGCACTTGGAATGAGCGTGCACACGCACACAGCTCTAGTCAATCCAGAATCCTTCAGAGAATGGTGTGATTCTGATAGGATAACTCTTAAAGAATGAACTTACTGAATATAAACCCACAGAGTTCTCCCAGGGTTTAGGAAGAAGCAGCTATACCATTTTAGTACAGAGGCTGCATGTCATCATTTGTTTCTCTTCTTTCTGCCCCAGAATGGCAAGCTAGCCCATTAGAGTTGTGACAATGGCAAATGTCGAGCTCAAATAATCGCACAGAGAATCTGCCAAACTATTATTCTGATATCTGATCCAGCATCCGAACAGGAAAAAGGGAAGGCAGGGAGTCTAGGAGAGAGTGACAGAGTCTCAGGCTGGGATAAAGATTGACTTCTTCCGGTTCACTTGTTCTGTGAGCCATTCTGCATCGAGGTAGGGAGAGGGGTTTAGTTATCTTTATCTAGATCTAAAGACTTCCCCCAAGATACAAGATGGGACTGGAGTGCTAGAATAGAGATGATCAGAGAGCAAAGGCTGTGGACACAGAAGTTAGCCAAACACTCATCACTGGAGAGGAAGGGTCTATTGACTCAATGCATATACACTCATGTGCATGTTGACACACACACATGCACACACACACACACACCTCTCTTTGGCTGCCTTGAATTTACCAGCTTAGGTGATTTATTTTAAAATATTTTATCTGTACATGAATGCATCCTTTTAAAAAGGAAAGAATAAATATACCCGAAGAAACCTCTTATTGAAAGTGTATACATCTCACAAAGCTGGCTGCTATTTGGGAAACTATGTTGCTACAGTGAGCAAGCGCTTGTAACACAGGGAACAACAGAGAATCCTTGAAGCCGGGTTCCTCATCCCTGCACACGTCACTGCCCCCTCTTGCTGCCACTGGCCCCTGCATCAGTAGGTCCCTTTGGATGCCCACCAGACTATTAATTAAGAAGCCAGAAGCTTCAGCTGCTCCACCGGTCATTTGTTTTTGTGTTGTGGAAAAGGCAAAAAGACCACCCCGGCTTGAGCGAGGCTCTATTTTTAGAATGTTGGTTGTTGGCATGCTCACATCTGGATTAGGTATAAAATGATAATATTACGTTGATCAACGCTTGAGAGCCCCATCTGCATATAAATAGGCCTAATCAGAAATGCAAATTGCAATTTCCAGAAATGTGTAAAGGCTGCAGATAGCTGTGCTTTTGTGAGGATAAGGGAAGGTCAACACGTGTATTGTGACATCAATTGAATGGCCCAGAATGTTCCTTTGAAAAATGTCGTTTGGAAAATACAAATTATCTATCAATCTGCACCTAGGCTGAACTGGGTTCCCCACCGCTTGACCCTCCTACCATAGATCAGCTCAAACCCTGTTAAAGAACCACACCACATATGTGGGGCCCTGAGAACACACAGAGTAGATTCCTCTGAAAGGACTTTCCCACTGAGGGGTGAAAAATAAGGTGTATGGACAGTGAGACACTTTCAGATAGATGTCACTGCTGACCTGAGTAGATACAACAACATGAATATGTGTTTTGGGGAGACCCCAAATTTCCCCAATACTACAGCAAGTACACTTAAAAAGAAAACATTGGTGTTTAGACCGATTATTTAGTCCTAAATCGCATCTGTGTTTTTCTCATGCAAAGCACAAAAAAAGAACATTTCAGGCAAATTGTAGTGCCGGGAATTGACAATCGCTCCACGCTCTCGCCGTTTCTCAGGCATGTGATCTTGCAGAGATAGTCTCTCCTTGTGTCCCCCAAACCCTGTTGGGTTTTTTTCCTCATCTTTTTGAAAAGGAAACCTATTTCACAAATAGGCTTTCTCAAATTTGGAGAGAAATCGCATACCAACTAGCTTCCCTCCAAAACCGGTTTCACGAAGCACCGATGAGTCAAGAGCGCCACCTGGTGTCCTACCTTGGTATCTTAAAGAGCATTTTCACAGGGTGCATTTCAAAGAGGGGAGGGTCTCCATCGCCCAGCTCAATGGCTGTGATGCCCAAGGACCAGACGTCACAACGAGCGTCATAGGACGAGTCATACTGCTGCTCGCAAGCAATGACCTATCAAACAAAAACAAGACACAACACATCAGGCCACTGTCACCCCAGTTGCCTCGAAAACCTTTTTTTTGTTGTTGTTCCATTGACCGTGCTAATGTTGAACGGCAGCAACGAGCTGTGTGTATGCTAGACCCTGTCTGTGCATAACTGATTCATCATCTGATATGTTTACCTAACTTTGGTCCTTTTCCTTTCTTTTTGAGCAGGGATCTGACGATGTCTCAAATTCACAAGACACACCTTTGCATGCCCATTTCTTCCATTCTCAGGTGACAGTCATGCATGCTAGAATTACAGATGGATTCACTTCCTTTTAAAAATGTGTTAGCCCCACTCAGAATGTGTTGAACCATCTCAGTACAAAGCATACGACGAGGTAGTGAGGGGCCGCTCTGTGCTTGTACCGCCTGCTTTTTTCCCCTTTAAAGAAAAGACTTGGCATGCACATCATACCTCCCTTGGTATGCTGTTAAATTCAAACACAAAAATCAGTTGCTCTTAAGAATGGCTGCTACAGAGTCCTGGAGAGTGTAACCCTCTCGCAGAGGATGTTGGAAGACCCTGTGGTTATAAAAAGTGGGAGCCACCCCACTCCACAGTTTCCCTTTCACCAACAACATCAGAACCCTCCTCCACATCCAGCAACCTCAACAACAGTTTACAGGTGCCACTGCATTTTCTGGCCTAACTGGGTAGAGAGCAGGTGGATCAGAATGGCTGCAGGCTTATCGGTGGGGTGAAGAACAACAACTCTTGGAGGATTCTGTTTCTATCTATGTTCTAAGTCTCACAGGAAAAAGCAGACTCTTGACTGTCATGCAAGACTGGGAGAAAGGAGTATGTAGAGGGTGAAGAGGGACCCAGTATTCCCCTTGACCTTGATTCTGACTCCCAGGGCAGGCCGGAAGCTGACTGTCTTGGCTAAGCACCATGTGGGTGAACATAGGCTGGGCAGGCTGCTTCCCTCAGGCCGTCATGTTGTCTTTGGCTTTTACTCTGGATGAGACAATTACTTATGGTGAGCTGACAAAAGACAGGTCAGGCTTATACTCTAGTAGATCCCCTGGCTGCATGCTGAGGGCAGAGTCAAGAGAAGGGGATACACAGCCAGTTACAGTACTATTGTACCACCATTTATGAGGTGCAAGAAGTAACTGGATTCTGAATGTAATTCTGAAGGTTGAACCAACTGGAATTCTTAGTGGGCTTTTAAAAGAAAAGGCTTGTGGGTGGATAACTCTGAAGTGTTTGACCTGAGCATGTACCAGAGAACTGGGGTTAACCAACATGGGGAGGGAGGAGAAGCAGCCTTAAGGCTCAAAGCTGAAGCTTTCAAATCTCAGGGGTCAGGGAATTATCCAATGAGAGATAATGATTTTAACCCCTAAGCTCCCCCCCAAGACCCCCTGCTGGACATCTGACCTAGAGAATTGTAAGAAAAGTACTCTGGCCTGTATGTGCTCCACCTCCAGTTCATGTGTTAGAAATATGATCCGCAATGCAACAGTGATAGGAGACCTTTGGGGAGATGTCCAGTCCGGAAGCTTGACCCTCCTGAATGGATTCAGGTCAAGACTAGTGTATGAAAATGCCTCTTGCCTTCTACCATACGAGGAGAGTCAGAGGCCCTCACAGGACCCAGCACCTGCACGTTCCCAGACCTTATGACTGTGAAGAAATAAATTTCTGTTCCCTCTAGATTGCCCTGCCTTGGATATTTAGTACAAAGTAAATCAATAAAATAAAGAATGTTATGTTGTGCCAAGCGATGGTGGCTGGTGGCGCACACCTTTAATCCCAGTACTTAGGAGGCAGAGGTAGGCGAATCTTTGAGTTTGAGGCCAGATTGGTCTATAGAGTGAGTTCTATGACACCCAAGGCTACACAGAGAAGCCTGTCTCAGGAAAAAAAAAATGTTTGTTGCTTTGGGCCCCTGGATCTTTATGTTGTTAAAGCAGTGATAGAAAACAAATGTATCTGCTCTCTTCCACACCAGGTCATGTGAAAATGTTCTGAGCTTTCTATCTTCAGCCTCAGCCATTGCTCTTGCTGCTGCTGCTTCTTCCTCCTCCTCTTCCTCTCTTTCCTCCTCTTCCTCTTTCTCTCCCTCTCTCTCTCTCTCTCTCTCTCTCTCTCTCTCTCACTCTCTCTCTTTCTCTCTCTCTGTGTGTGTGTGTGTGTGTGTGTGTGTGTGTGTGTGTGTTTGTGCCCTGGTCTCTGAACTAGAGAACATTCTCCCAAGGACCTATACCACAGATCTAGCTGCCACCACTCCATCAGATTAGAAAGTCTTCTCGCAGACTATTCTGTCATGAGTTCAACCCATTATTTTCAAAATAAAGTTCAGAGCACTCTGAATCTGGACCCAGAGGCTACTTCAGTGCCTCTAAGGACCCCACTCTCCTCACCCCAATCAAGCAGGAGCCTGCAGCATTTACAAGGAGCCCCAGAGGAGGCTCCTCAACACCTCCCAGGAATGACATTTTTGAAAGTGAGGGACAAACGTAATATTAGACCTATCAATCAGAAGACAGTTTGCCAGTTTACTAATGGCACTGTGATGGAGAGAGAGAGAGAGAGAGAGAGAGAGAGAGAGAGAGAGAGAGAGAGAGAGAGAGAGAAAGAGAAACTCTACCTTCCCCCAAGCAGGGTCTGGGACCAGTTAAAATATAAAGTGGGCCTCTAGTAGTTAAATGGCAAGCTATGACAATCATCACTGTCCTCAGACAGTGTGCACTAGCGTGTCTGATAAGGGGTATAGGCTCCAAAATCTCAGGACACTAGAGAAAGACTACTGAGGAAGGTGGTGGCAAGAGTCTTGCACTAGTAGTCTACAGCATCCAGAAAGAAACTCCAGTTCCTCTCAGATGGAACACAAAAGCCAACCCAAGAACACAGCTATGTGTGGAACTGGAGACAGGCTGACAACTTCCCCAGCGCTGTCATAAAATATTCAAAACTGGTTTCAACTTGTCTTTCCAGACAGATGCTGACTTCATAAACAGAAATATACCTCTCAGCCAATTCTTCTCCCAGAACTCAGCTCATGAGACACCAAAGAAACTCTTCTAAGGAAGTTTGTAGAAAAGCATACTGTTAAAATAATTCACAAATTGTTATTTTATAGCCATGAGCCAGACAAGGTGTCTAGCCCTGAAGAGAGAAAGGCAACTGAGCAGTTCAGTCTTCAGAAACAACCCCGAGAGAGGTAGGCTGTTATCTTCTTTATAGCTGTTGACTCAACTAGGGGAAAGAGCCCTTCTTGTGGCAGACCTCTGATGGATTTTAGAAAAGGTCTACGGATGCCTCCCATGTGAAGGCCAGTGCAACTACATCTATGAATCTAACACAAAACCATAGCTATGAAGAGGAGAAAAGGCACCGTGCTTCTTAGCTCCGCCTTCTCCTTGTCTTGGAATAAAGCCAAGTGAAAGCATGCTGGGACTGTTGGGTCTTTGATTCCCTTGCTGCAGGTGAGGGGACCTCACAGAGGACCTCCGGACTGAATTTTTGTTAGGAAGCTCTGCTAAGCTGAGAGAGCAGCCGTGGCAGGCAAGGCACTGCCTTGAACCAGGTTGACTAACTTTAGAAGTCCTAGAGGAAGTGTGGAGATATACAGGTTAGGACGAAACTGACAGAGGTCCAGGATACCACGGATCATCTCTCACCCCTCCGTGAATCACCCCACTGCCCCACAAAGTGATGAATGCATCTGTCGCCTCTTGTAGAGACACAGTGTCTATGTGAGGAATATGAGTGAGGGAGGGACTTCAAGGGCTGAAGGAGTTAGAGCTTCATTTCACCTGGAGATGAGGATGGCCATCAATGAGTAGTAACACACCAGTCCTAGGTAACCAGAAGAAAGCGTTTCATGTACAGGATTAGCTACACCATTTTGCTAGCTCAAAGTGAGTCTGTGTTTACTCCTAGGCAGGTGTAAGTCGTCACCGATGTCCTCAAGATCTTTCTCAGTTTTTCTCCTTCAGTATGTAGCTGGAGCCATGGACTTGAGCGATTCTGTGTTCTACTCCTGAGTTATGTCCCCAGAATTTGGTTTATTATTGCTATTATTTTTTATTTATGTGTGTCTTTCTGGGTGTGGGTTTGTGTATGTGAGTATAGTGCCCATGAAAGTCAACAAAGGAGCATCAGACACCCTGGAACAGGAGTTATAGGCAATTGTGAGTGGCCCAAAGTGGTTGCTGGGAACCAAACCCAGGTCCTCTGCAACAGCAGCAATTGCCCTTAACCACTGAGCCATTTTTCCAGTGACCCACTCTTGGTTATTTTCTGCTTTGTTTTGTTTTCGTACCAGCCTCACTATACAACCTAGGCTAGTACTGAACTCATAATCCAGGAACTCTCTTAACTTATAAAATGATAGCATTGAGGAAAAGAACCATTTCTATTCCCTCCAGCTCTAACGTTCTTTAACTTCATGATTTCTAAGTAAGCGACCTTACTTATTTGGAAAGGAAGCACTAACATCCCTGTGAGGATTAGCTAGAGTGTAAAGTAGGTTATTCTGGGGCAGGCACTTTCTTGGTGGCTGGAACCTTGAAGGGCTTTTTTTTTTTTTACTGATATTTTTGTAGAAGGTCTTAAAGTCAAGGAATAGATACCAGTAGCTGTGCTAACACCTTGGTTAAGGAAGATGAAGTTCAGCTAAAGAGCAATTGTTTGGATGCTGGTTAATGGAGCATGTCCAGGTTCTTACTTCGAAATGCAAACTTAGGGCTCTTCTGGTGGCACTTAAGACTGTACTCTCGCTTATTTTAGGAAGAGGGGAAATACTAATGCAGGGATTACCAACAGTATCTATGCACTGACAGCTTTAGTGCCCAGTACCAAGATCTATCCTACACAGAGGTAGCCTTGAGTTTTCCAGATGTCAGTTGCAAGCACTTTGGCCTCCAAAACTTCTCTTTCAAGGGGAACTTGCAAGAACTTGGAACAAGCAAGAACCTTCACAGTGGTTTAGGTCATGGAGAGGATTAGCA